GCATTACGACTGCATCATACTTACAGGCAGACACAGAGAGCAGCAGCTCAGCATGGTAAACCGTGGTTAACAAGGCGATAAAAGCTTCGGTCTTCAGTGAGGGATTGTCATCATTTCCTTCGTTAAAGTGCTTGAGATCTGCGTCCTCTCTAGTAGTTTTATTGGATTTGTCAAAAGCCTCAGCAATGATTTAAGTTCAGTTCAGTTCAGATTTATTGTCACATCACAGTGCACAAGTGTACAGGTGAGTGAAAAACTTGAGTGCAAATTCCCACATATATGCAAATCACAATATAAAAACATACTAAAAAAGATTAAAAGACATATATATATTTCTGATTTCTTTTTGATTTCCTGTCTGTCAGGTTACATAACCCTTGGAACGTTCAGGTGTGCGGTCGTACCTGGCCATGTCCTCATCCAGCAGCAGCTTGACAAACTGTCGAGGAATGTTGAGCGACAAGACGCTCTCTGCCATCTGCTCCAGGACTCGTAGGTGGTTCCCATCGGTGGTGGGGAAGCGGTACATCCTGGACAGGGCGCCTCCAAACACTGAGCGAAACACAGATCAGCTGATTGTTTCAGCAGTTTGTATACATGTTTGTACCCACAGATACTATAGAAATACTCCTACTGATGTCAGAATAATGGGGTTGTTAGCACAGGTAACAGGAGAAAAGACAAAGACGTTGAAAAAAAAGGTTGTACTTGTGCTTTAACTTGTTTGTGAGTCAAATGTTCAGAAGCAAACATGTTTGAGTTGTGTTCATGCCAAGAATAGCTAGCATTACTTCAGATCCTCAAAGACATTCAGTGACTTAATTACCAACAAGTTTCCTTCATCCTTCAGGCAGTTATTTTTACAGGCCAAGCTTTTATGATTCCTTTTACCTGATCAAGATTATGACTCAAATGTTGCAGTCAATTAATTTCCAAGAAATCAGTTTGGAGTTTTTATTCTGCCAGAAAAACTAAGCTGCTACCTTTTTTAATCTGGTTCAGTCAATTCGATCTGATCTGAATCCTTAACAAAAGCTAACAGAGTCATCATGTGCTGACCTGAGCGTAGCAGGGTGTCTTTACACAACGAGGCGGACTTGATC